ACAGTTACACATGACCTTGGCATTGGGGTCGAGGCTCTGCTGTATCGTCTGGTTCTGAAGCAAGCTGTAGAGCTCGTCCTGTGCAGCAGTGTAGCAGGCAATGCTCTCCAGACCGCAAACTGGTACATCCAAGGGCTCTGCAAATAAGTCACGGCTTGAATTATGCACCATAAGATAGTCATGAGTCGATAGTCACGCACTGGGCATCCAGAACTTGACGCAGCCACATTTAGACATTGTAAAGTTGGCCAGACACTCGGTCTGGCAATTGCTCTGCGAGTAGCTGCGGAAGAACCTAAGAGCGCGTTCATCATCGAAGTAGCACTGACGTCTGTTAAATAAAACGAATGATATGAATACCAATTGCAATGAAACAAATGTTATGCGTGTTATAAATATTATGAATGCTATGAATGTTTTGAGTGCTATAAATGTTTAGCTGAGAAAATTATGAATATGCAAATAAAATGGATAAACATGTTATATTATGTAAAATTATGTAAGATACTTATTAACTGATAAAAATATGGAAATGTGTTGAATGTTTTGCTTGTTGTGAATTTTTTGAAAGCTATGAATGTTATTACTGCTATAAGTATTATGAATGACTATGAATATGAATGCTATGAATATTTTGTATAAAATTAATGTTATGATAAGCATTTTGTAATCACAAATTTTGTCTTATTAATATTGCAAATGTATTGGGTTGAACGTTAACATTCTGTACGTATTAAGTGTTTTATAATATTCGTATACTTACTTTTCAAGGTAATTTTATGCTTGATATGAATATTTTGAATGCTATGCATGCTATGAATGTTATGAGTGCTATAAGTATATTGAATGAGGCGATAAATATTGTACGAAATTAATTTTGTGAATATGGATGCCATGAATCTTATGAATGTTTCAAAATATTGCCTTTGACGTTATTAATTAACGTTTACTATAAACACCTAAAGGTCTTTTAAATGCATTGAGTGTTATATTAATATTATTTTCATCATGTGCTGTAGGTGTCTCTGATGTGCTCACTTTTCAGGGCTAATTTCATGCAAATTATCCGTGGACACGACATAGTTGGGCAGCACGCTAACCATGACTTCATGGCCATGGGGCACTAGTATGTAATTGCCAGAGGTGAGCGGCACGCTCTCCGGAGAGTTAAGAAATACCTGCAATGAAAAATTGATGAGCACACCCAGAACCGCATATGACGTATATATACACCATATATTACGCACCTTATAGCCTTGCTTAAAGCTGCGACAATCGTAGTCGTAATTGTGCTCCAGGCCCTGCAGAAAGGCAAAGAAGCCGTTGCGAACCGAAGACGCCACCGTGCGCTGTGGATACGAGTTCTGGCCTTGATTTACGAAGCCCGTATCCAGCGACCAGTTGCCCTTTATTTCATTAAGTCTGGGCAAGTCCTGGTCAAAGTAGTTCTGAAAATCAACCTCATCCGGATCCACGTAGCTGACGTAACGCTCATCGCGATATATATCCCTGGGCCTCAGTCCATTGAACTGATAGCAAATGCCCTCGTCCGTGGCTACAAAGTCAAACAGCTTGTCGCAAAAGTAGAAGCGACCATTCCAGCGGCAAAATGGGCCCGTTTCATTCTTCGATATGCTTAAACCCACCAGCGTCTCGGTCACATCCTGCGGTTCCTTGTTGCGCAGGTTCGACAACAGCGGCGCGAATTTGGCAGCCACATCCGAGTCACATATGTGCATTGTCGCGGCCAGGCGCTCCAGACTGTAAATAAATATATTAAAATGGGTGTTTTACTCTAAACTTCTATTTAACTATTTCCACCCATTTCCCGCTAGCGAAAGTTTTCATTCTTGAATTGGTGAATAAGGTAAGCAGAAAAAAAAGGTTTTCAAACTGTTGTGCTTTCTATCCCTACATACCTTAAACGTATTTATTTTGTAGGATAATACTCAACTCTTGCTCATCCACGGCGGAGAATTGATTGTTTTCCTTAAAGTTCTGCCAGATCTGTTGTGAGATGTTCGCATAGTCGAAGACATTGCGCTCCATTTTGATTTCCGGGCATATGGTTATGGTGGGGAATGGTATTTTATGCACGGGTACCAGCGTCTCGTCGAAGCCCAATATGACCGGCGAGTCCTGCCACTTCAGGTAAGTAGCCCAAATGAGCGAAACCGCAAAGTAAACCGATGTGCAAGTCAGAACCAGCCAGTATAATCTGTGAACACACACAGACACACATTTAGCCGAGTACTGGACAGCTTTAAGGACACGCACGCACTTCTCATAGATGGGGCGATGCACCTCAAATATGTAGCGTATGCCGTGTATGGTGGTGCTCTTCGAGTACTCCAGCAAAAGACCCTTGCAGGCGGACAGACGACTGCCGTATCTGATCCGAGATTTGATAATCACATCGCTCGGCACATCGCTAAGCGCCGCTGAAGTGATGCTGGCGCGTTGATAGTCGAATCCCGGCAAGGCCAACAGCTCCGGACCCGGAAGCAAGCAGCTGGGCTTATCCTCTTGCACCACTGTTGCGGCCATGTTCCAAACGCCTCCACGCACGTCGATGCCTCAACTAAGCTGGCCCGTTATGCGACCTGCGGTTTTATAGCCAGCACACAAATGGGTGTGTACACAGCTCATTCCTGTGGGATGTCGCACTTAGTGCATGGGGACTCGGGAAGCCCGCGTTGTCCATGTACTTAGTCTAATTGCTTGCTTATATGTGGGAGAAAATTAAGTATAGTTCAGGCACTTTTATGTAATACAAAGCTTGCAAATTTTAAAGAGCACTTTAATGCTATAAGGTATTTAAATTGACGAGCACATGTGTTTCTAAAGCTCTTCATATGACTTTTCTCACTTAAGTTTGTGTGAATGTAGTATTTAAGAGTGCTATTTTAAAGGGATAGAAAGAAAACTTATTTCCAATACTTAGTCATTTTTACTTAACTTTTGAGAAAGAAATGGAAATATTTGAAAAGATATTGCTTTACAGGGTAATATAAAAATCTGTTCAACTTGTATATCAGTGTGTTAAATATTTTAATGTCTGGAGGAACAGAAATTCCTCCGAATGGATAATCAGATAAGCTTTAGTATAAAAAATAAATATTTAAGAAATGTGCTTATAGAGCAAAGTGGTTGTGTCAATTCTGGAATGCTTTTAGGGAAGTTTACGTGAGTAGCAGCCGCAACTGTAAATGTAACTTGAATTGGAACTGCAATTGCAGATGTTGTCAAGTTTCGTTTGATGCAATTTCAGAGTTTAAGTTTTAAATTTGGAAGTATTGCAAGTTTGCGGCATGCTTGCGGCTGCCGTGCAAATCCGCAACACAAAATGCATAAATCAAAGGAAAATTGAATTTTAGCCATGAAAAGCATTGCATACGCTGAGGCGCAACGACATTGTCGTCGTTGCCGTTGTCGACACACGCTGTGAGCCTGTGACAATATGTGTGAAACGGCATTGGGTGGCAGCCAGCCCAGCTGTCATCCGCCCATACTTTTGAACCCCAGCCACCCAGTCAGCTCAGCCCCCCACAGGCACTGTCAACGCTTGGGCACGCAGCGTAGCAAAAACTTTGTCCGGCTTGGCGTTGATGCGACTTCAAAAACAAAATCTTCGAGTGCTTTATGCAAAGACCAAGGCACAAGCAGTTCATAAATGCTAAAAAATAAAAAAAAAACAGAAAACCCTGTTTTTTTAATACTTATTGGATCATTTTAAAGCTCCCAGTAGAAGTATGAAACTATTCAACTAATATGCAGCAAACTAACTTTAGGCAAATTTATTTAACTGACAGAAGCTGTAGTTAGAACTCTGAAATGCTATTAGTTTTAATATTATAATGCTAAATAAACCACTCCAAGTCTAAGTTAATTCTTGCTGTAACATACATAGCCATCCTATTATACGATTAATTTAAATTGAAACAAATTTGGCAATGAAAGTATTTTAAAAACACATACATGCATCTAATTATGTATTTTTACTATAAATTATTTATAAAATATTCATTTAAACTAAAACTTAAGACGTATTTCCTATTTACATACAACATACATACCTAACATTTATTCATACATATTCATAAATAATTGTCAAAATAAATATGTGCCATGAGAAATTGCTTCTTTAACACTTCAATCTATATCAAGCAAAAAAACTGTAAACTAATTTCATATATAGAGATAAATTTAAAATTTGTATGTATATGTATCGTAAGCATATAGAGAACACAGATAGGCAATACTTCCCGCCAATAGCTCAGATTAGCACGTGCTGGTTGGGTGAGTGAAATGAAGGAATGGAATTCACCACTGTTTATGGACAATTGTACCATACGCTTTTGCCGGTTTTTACATGCCTGTTGCCACAAAATAAAATAAAGAGAATTTCTAAGTTTTCTTTGGCGATTATTTGGGCTTCGAGCCATTTGTAGTTCAGTCTTGAGAGGGCGCTTGACTTTGCAAAACGTGTCCAGCTTTGTGCCTGTTGAAATTAAAAAATTCCTATACCATCTATGTAAGCCCTGATCCCAGGACACTGCGTCCAGATCCCGGGTGCTGCGCATGAATTTTTGTGATTGCAGATTTCAAAAAAATTACAGTAAAATGCATCAACTCTCGTGGAAAATGTAGGCATCTAAAACAAATTACAAATAAATCAATAAAAATGACTGGGCAGGTGGAAAATGCAATTTGGTGAAAAATTCCGCATATGCAAGCAAATATGTGCAGACTGTAATCGATGCAGTTATTTAATTTACAATATGTGCAAATAAATTCATAAACTAAAAGTGTGGCTAAATAAATCGGCATAAAATTGTTGGAATTTGCATTTTAATGAGTTTCAATAAAAAAAAATACCCGATGGAATTCCAGACAATGTGCAACAGCCAGCCTAATTAAAAAAACAAATAGTAAAAGAGACACAAATATAAAGTAAAAGCGAGAGAGAGCGAGAAAAAGAGCGGGAGAGGGAGAAAGAGAGGCGCTAGTAAATCAAACAATTTAAACAGCAAACGAGGTAAGTTTATTTGGTATGTAATTTATTAATTAGTAGCTTTTTGCGCATTGGCAAGAAGTGGAGCGTTAAGCATTAATACCACGACTCATTCACGTCAAAATCATTGACTCCAATTTACATTCACATTCACATTCACACTGACATTCACTCGTTTATATGCCGAGTTTAACGACCACTGAATGCTTTCAATAGCAATTAAATTTCAAGCAGATGCAAACTTCAATTGAATCGCATAAATTAAATAATTGACAGAAAAAAAGGGAAAACTATTTTTTACTCTGCTTCTAGAGGTGTCAACACTCGCTTTAACAAATAACTTAAAAGCTTAAAGAGCGTTTTTTTATAGAAATTAAATTATATAAACAGTTTAATAAAAAATCTCTTAAAGACTTAAGGCGAGAACATATGAAATTTTATACAATTAATGTTAGATTGGAAAAAATAAGATTTTAAAGTTTGAAGCATGTAAACATTTAATTCATTATTATTATAATAAATGAACAATCTGAAAATATCTTTAAATTGTGGAAAACTATCCCTTAAGTATTAAGATTGCGCCACAGTCAAGTAATATTTCTTAAAGCTCTTCATAGAACATTCAAAATGTAACCGGTTCGTATATATCAAAGCCTTCATTCAATTTCTAAACCGAACCTTTAATACTCAAACCTTAAACTTTACTAAACCATATTATAATGATTATATTCAAGAAATTACTAACCTATAATTATTGGTTTTGTTTAAAGCTAAAAGTAGAACATTCATATTTATTATAATAAGAGCGAATCAATTGATGAGCAAGACAGATCCATGTTGCATGGATATATACTATTTATATGAGATCACAAAATTCCAAAAAGATATGTCAAAATCATAGTTAGCTCCTGCTTAATTTGAGTTCAAGCGTATTTTAAAATTGTCAATGCTGTTTCAATAATAAACCTTTGTTATATTTGTAAATTTTAATATTATATTAAAGATACGTACTAAGTAGCTTAACTTGCTAGTTGCTTGCATTTATTTGACCAACCCTTTTGGTTGTGCACACAATATTTATTATCGATTCATACTAAATACCCAATATATTACTTAGTAAAACAAAGACACTTTTGAAATTTTACTACCTTATCTAACCCCGTGCATGAACTTTTGCACCTCATGCCATAAAGCCAAGTACTTATCATAAAACGGCTTAAACTAATGTGCTCCGAACAAACACAATAACAACAATGAACAACTGCAGCAGTAGCAATAATAACAGCAAAAACATGTCCGTAGCACCTTTCAGTGCGATGCGTATCGAGTTGCCTTCAGAAGAGCTTGGCAAGCAACTCGAGCGCCTTGACTTGTGTCCATTGAGCTCACATAATCGCACAGACACAGACATAGACAGAAACTAAGAGAGAGAGTGAGAGAGAGAGAGAGAGAGAGAGAAAGAGAGAGAGAGAGAGAGAGAGAGAGAAAGAGAAAGAGGGGTCTGAGTAAGAGACCCTGTGAGTAGAACCGAACACCGCCGTACCCATGCCCTGACTTGCGGTATCGCATTTTAATGACCCACTTTTGTGCTCAAGACTATTTAAGTTTCTCTCGTATTGGTTTGTTCTAATTCTGAACAGTGCAAATCCCAGAGCAAAGCAATTAGTGTGGCCATTGGCCAGTACTGCGGCGTATTGTCAAGGAAATTGTGGAAGAGTTGCCGAGTGCTTGCGGGGCTTCGCCAGCGACCGGGGTTGCCGCACTCACAACAGCGCGCAGAGAGTCGAAAGTAGAGACAAGAAATACGTGAATCAAATACATGAATTTATATGTGCAACAAAAATGTTGCAGACAATGAAAGTCATTACCCACGAGGTGTAAAACAATTCTCTACTGTTGACGGCAGTTGAAAGGCCAAAGACAGCGAACGAAAACTCAAAAAGACACAAAATAAATGAAAAATGAAATTAATAGAATTAACGAGTGGAAAATTCAATTCAAGGCGTCACAAATTCAGGGACAATACTTGGCGTCGTGCCGTGAATACGATTGAAACAAATGTGCCTCCAATTTGGGACAGCACCTTGGAACAGTGCGAATGGCGTACAATGGAAAAGTTTAAAAGTTGAATAAAACACGAACTTGGTCAAGGCAGAAATTGTACTTGTGTACATCTATGTAAGGAAAAATACAAGAGATGTGAGCCACTTGAGGTTTAGGAAAGGTGTGGTTAATTCGATATAAATATAATTATTTTAATTAAATAATATTCTTTTGTTCTATTAATATAAATGTGTAAATATTCTTGCTCGATTAAAAATTCGGAGTATTATTGTCACATTTAATAAAATGCCTTGAATCATTTCCTCCTCAACTCAATAATGTTTAGTTTGTTATAATTTAATTTTAAATTTTAATTTTATTTTAAAACTCTAGAAGCTTGGTTACTTGCATTAATAAAACACTTATTATAATTTTGCATAGTATGTTATGAAATTCAATCCTTTGCAACTCAAACTAACTTCGCACATTATCAATAATTTTCATTCATTAAAAAATAAGTAGGAGATATTTTAATTACCAACGCCTTACCCCTTCACTTTTTTGGGATCCACTTTATTTTTTATGAAATTATATTGCGTTTATCACACAAATATTTCTATCATAAAATATATGTTTGGTACAAGAATTTCTCTTTTTTGATTTCTTTTAATAAACATATTAAATAACATGAAGAACTTTAGCCGCAAATTAATTTCTAGGAAAAAATATGTGAAAATTTCTCACAAGCGCAATAATTATTAATTTATATTCGTGTGTGTCATATAATCCATGTGAGTTACTTGCGGCTGGTTCGGGCATATATATGAATGCATAATTGGAGCACAAAATTCCGAAAATATTTTACAACATCCTGCACCCAACACACAACCCATGACTGTGTGTAGGTGTGTGGCTGTGTGCCGTCCATTCTTGTCGGGTTTCCAGGCATTCATTGTGCTCTTATCCCATTTATTCATTTCAGCTACACACATACACACACAGACACACACTTAGGCAAACACACTCATAGGGAGTTGTGGTCACACACGGATAAGCAACCGGCCGAAGATGGACCTACGTATACGTAATCTAACACTGCCAACGCCAGCCGCAACAACAATTATGTTCTCGTCAACAGCAACAACAGCGACGGCCGCAGCAATGTCTAGTGGCACGGCAGCAACAATCGCCCCAACAACAATAGAATCAACAGCAACAACAGCAACAACAACGCCATCCACATTTTTTACATACAGCATACCAGGCATGGACATTGCGCCGGGACCATTTATATTCACCTACGTTAGTGAATTTTTATCGCTTATCACGCCCGAAGAATTGCCGCTTGGTAAGTTTCTGGAAGGGGTTTTGTCTTTCCCATATGTATATATCTATGTTTTGTGGAAGTGTGTGTGTGTTTGTGTGTGTGTGTGTGTGTGTGTGTGTGTGTGTGTGTGTGTGGGTGTGTGTGAGTATGTGCGAGTGTGTGTGGCTTGGTAACTAGTTTTGACTGCCTGCCAACAGCTAAGGAATTAAATAGGACAATGCACAATTTTATATCATTTACAATGGTAAAGAACAATAAAGTTATTCAATAAAATATATAAAATGTATAATCCTGGACAATATTCTGCAATACATGAACTAAGGTTTAAAGCCTTATATAGCTTCAAAGATTTCACCTATTTTTAAGTAATACTCAGTGTATTATTTGAAGATAGATAAGTCTCTAAGCCCAACTGCTTTTATGCAATTTTCGATTTATATATGCATGTTTATATATAAAAGTTTGAGCATTAAAAATACACTTCTCAAACAAATCTTATATAAAATAAACTTGTACTTATAGTAGAAATTCTATATACATATATATTTGAGTTCTAATAACTTAAATATTAAGATTTTCAATAGCCACAAAAACTTTCATTAAGCTGCATGCATTTCAATTAAATTGATATATGTTTGCTCAATTAATAAGTAGGGCGATGAAGCCCTACTATATTTAAGCTGTGAACAAGTTCTTAATCATTTAATTTAATATTGCATAAAACCAATATATTTTAAGCATTCGATCAATCCCAGACATCTTTCATTTCCCATTTAAATGAAAGCATATCTCGAAAATTTCCATATAAGACCCATTAAATCGGGATAGAAACACAGGTAGATTTAAAAGTTTTACAATTGGAAGCCCACTGTTCGCTCTCAGAGTGTGAATGATTCCCATGGTCACAGCTCGGCCATGCGTGGGGCATTGTGAATGCTGCACGCTGTTAGAGATTGGATTAAATCATGACACTAAATTCAGTTGGCGTATAGTTTATGGCTCTTAGTCGTACATACATTATGCCATGTACTACACGGTTTTCGTCAGTGCCGAGTCCTTATCAAATATGCAAGTCATCGCGCTGGCCATCAAAACAGGTTTCAGGCGTTGAAGATTTAAAGCAAAGTCAGCTTAGACTAAGCTGATTAGAGAACAGTATGAATTTATGAAAATTTATTTATCAAAATTGGTCAACAAGTTGGAGGAGGAGCCACAGGCTAGCCGCAGATGTCCGATGAGCAAAAGCTAGCCAGCTTTATGAAGAAACATGGCGAACAGGAGGAGGTAGCGCGTCATTACCTGACGACCAACAACTGGGCCCTGGAGCAGGCTAGCCTTAAATACGAAGACGACAAGGCTAAAGGGCGGAACAGCAATGCGACTGAGGCACAGGGGCTGCAATCCCTACAGAGCCTGCTTAGTCGTCAAACGACCAACCGTGAGGATGAGCCCGAGGCTTACTTCGGCGGCACCTCCGACAGCTCCATGCCGCAACCACCCAGAGACGGCATCCAGACGTCTAAACGTGTGCAGATTGAGGATTCGACGCCTGCGCTGACCACGGCGGACAGCGATCGCAGTTTGCGCGCTTGGGGCCGTGGCGAGCGTCTGGGCAGCGCTCATCCCATAAATCCGCCGCCAGCACGCGATGATGATGAGCTGGACTCGGATTCCGAGCTGGAAGAGAACGAGCACAGTCTGGTTGTGCTGCATCTCTGGTCCGAGGGCTTCTCACTGGACGACGGCTCCCTGCGGCTCTATGAGGTGCCCGAGAATGAGCGCTTCCTGAGTGCCATTATGCGCGGCGACTTCCCTGATGAGATGCAGGAGTTTGGCCAACGCATTGAGCTGAGCGTGCGCGATCACACAAACGAGTCCTATCGCGAACTATCGCGCAAGCAGTTCATGGGCTTCGGACGTCCCTTGTGCAGTCCCACGCCACGCATCGAACTTGCCGCACAGGCGACTGAGCAGCAGACGCCGCTGGAGCTGCAGCACCGCCACGAGGAGAACGCACAGAACACGCTGCAGCTGAACGGACAGACGGAAACGACCACCATTCAGTTTCGTCTCGCCAATGGCAGCCGTATCGCCGCGCGCTTCAATACCACCCACAATGTGGGGGATCTTTACAGATATGTGCGCATGGCAAGGCCTCAATATAGCAGCCAAAACTTTCTGCTTATGACTGCGTTTCCACGTTACGATCTTCACGAGAGAGATCCCCGCACCTTGGCCGAGGCTAATCTGCTCAATGTGGTGGTCATCCAGCATATCAGTGAGGATTCCGACCAAGCTGACCAGTCGACTGACTAAAAGTTATATTAGCGGACAACACGAAATTTGTTTGATGAATAGTGTACGATAGATATGTAATATCCATATTGTATAATAAATCATATACTTTTAATTCGATTTTTATACACAAATTTATATAAATTTATATTTACTTTTATTATTATTATTACATTATTTGGCAGATTCCATACGAGATGTACTACACAAAAACGTCAGCCTTATTGACTTCGCCGCCAACGTGAGTAATAATATTTCTCCAAGATAAAACATTCCGTTGAATCTCTGTAAATATTCTTAATTATATTTTGTAGGCTATTAAGATCGAATCCGGTTTCATAGCGCTGATGAGTATTTTTGCCATACTGGCGCTGGTGCCGCTGATTGCCACCTGTGCGTGGTGCTGTGGCCGTCGCGCCACCCATGATGAAGTGGAGCTCATACGGAAGGCGCAGGTTCACATACGCGACGAGTCGCTGGAGGAGAATCTGCGCTGTCGCAAAAGCGCCGGGCTGGTCACTCTCTGGATTGTCTTTATCCTGCTCACGTATGTGGCCAATTGGAAAGTTTTACTTTGGAGTTGACTCAATTTAATGGCACTTTGCAGGCTGAGCGACTTTAGCATATTTTATGCGAACAGTCGTCTCTCGGCGGGCATTGAGATGACGCCAGAGATGGTCAAGTCCGCAGTGCACGATGTGGAGGTCTTTCTTAAGGACACGCATCTACAAATCAAACACAAACTGGATAATGGCTTTCATGTTTCCGTTGAGAGAGTCGTCAAAGACTTGGAAGGTCAGTGGGTGGGCACCTAAAATAAAAACTTTTCCTTTTGCCAACTTTATGACCAGCCGCGTCGCTTACATTTATAGTTTTCGATTCATGTATTATGCTAAAACTTTATGCATTGCATTGTGAGTTATTGCAGTGACTGTCCCACTTCCCCTACCCGTGACTGCAGTAAATGCCCCTGTGCGCACTCTATGTGAACTCAATAAACTGTCTGTCTCTTTTCTATTCCCGTAGACGTGGATGTTCTCCTTGGCGAGCCAATTCAAGCGGAAATATCCGCACACACTGGCCTCGAGCTGGCATATGATTCATTGACGACACTTAGCCTGGGTGAGTCTTTTGGTTAAGTGCTCCACTGCGATTGTCTGCCTGAATGCGTGCAACTCGGACTTGACCCAGATCAGAATTGTACTTCTTGTTTACGGTACGACAAATCCATTTAGGTCTTGACTTACAGAAGTGTGACATTTTTCACAATCAAACAAACGGAGCATCATCATATAAAAGAAAACAATAAGAATGTAGTTATTATTGAGTAATAGAATTAAATAATATGACCCAAGATAAAATAATTATGTTTCCATAAATCCTTTATTGTAGTAAGCTCAAGTTTGGCTATAATTTTACAGGCCGATTTAAAATTCATTCTTATTTCAACGTAGAGAATAGTCACATTCTGGGATTCCATGAGAGACCTGACTGTTAGTATAAACATTATTATAATTATACATCACGAGCTCTCTAGAAGCATCAGAACTTATTTTCTTTAATATTTTGACTTTTGGCAAAACAAAACAATTGCTCCCAAATCTTGTCATATTTCACAATAAATATTGAAGTTCGCCGAGACAAGCGATTGTTTGCGCCCAATTTCATTATGGGGAGGCCAATCGCAAATATAAAACTCGAGAGGATGTCGCGTGCTACGATATCAGAGGCTCAGTCAGGCTGGCAGGCGGCATCCACATCCGGTGGCAAGTTGACACAAGCAGAGCACAAATGTCAAGAGGGAAGCTGCATTAGATTCGCACACAATGTGTAATTTAGAGCAGGACTCATAACCTTAGCCTGCCCCTGCACAGGCCACACTCCCTGGTTAGCCCAAATAAATATGCTACAATTATGTTTTCGTGGATTTTGTCGCAGCGAATGCGGAGCTCATCTATCGCGTGCTCATGCTCCAGGAGACCGTCGGACGCGCCTTGAAGCTGTCACAGGAGGCCGCCGCTCGCATGGAGGAGCTGCAAATACAGTTGTCCGTGCTACAGCGCCAGTGCACGTACCGGGATCGTCCGCTCTGCGACACATTGCGTATACGCAGCTTCGAGGAGAATGGCGTAGTCGACGCACTCAAGACGGTGAGTTAGTTGGTCAACTTGATTTTCGCCTTATCCGTTTAATTTTCGCCCCTTTCATTTCCAACTGTTTTCCAATTCGTAACGCAACTGCGGCCATATCCCATTTCGTTGCGATTTGTCAGCTGCAAGAGGACCAGAGCATCTTTCGCATGCGCTATTTGGGCGAAATTGAATTTGGTGCCACTGTCAAAAATCTAACATCGGAAGTTGGCGTCTCACGTTCCATTTTCAGCAATTTCCCGCAGCAAGTCAAACACGACACGGCATATGAACGCAACTGTAAGTCCAATCATAGCTCACACAATAATATTGTACGGGGGAGTGAAAATACTGTGAGCTCTTAAGAAAACGAAAGGAACTTATAAAACCGTCAAAATCTAATCCAAATATCAAACAAGAACTTATTAAATTTTAAACAGTTTTCACCAACTGTTATGCAGCATATTTTCTATTCTATAGCAAGTTTTATTAAAAGAATTGTTACATTTTTTTTAAACTAAATAATAAAAAATAAAATAGAATAGCTGATGGCAAAGATAAAATGTAACCGGTTTACTTGCGAAACAATTTTTTATAACAATTTTTCAGCAAAGCTAAAATAATATAAAAAATTCTTTTCCTTTATGATAAAATTCTGACGAAAAACTGTGCAAATTTATTCTTGATCATCAAATATTTGTCCAGACACAAAAAATTATGCATATTGTGAAAATGCGAAAATCGGAGAAGAATTTTCTTAAATTTCTTAACATTTTCTTAAATTTTATATAATTGAAAGGCCAAACACACGCGCACACACTTTGTCAACAATTATTTAATATGTTTATTTCTAAAACATCCAAAAACTTTCTCAAACATAAACAAAACTCGATAATGGCCTCAATTTAAATGTACAATTCAATCAATAGCACGTGTCAGGGCCAATGGCAACCAGTGTCAAGAAGTGTGGGGCTTGAAATTTGCCGTAACAAACAGAGACCACAATGGGGCGGCTGTTGGGTTTGGTTCAAGTTTAACACAATATTAATTACTGTCACCTGGGCCGCAAAATACACTAATTGAATTTCCAAACTTGTCCACAGATACGCTGGAGCAGCTGGCCAGCATCAGGCACCGGACAACGGCCAATGCCCAGATGTTAACGTCGACAATTAATGCCCTACTGCAGCGGCTGCAGCGCATGTGGCCAGCCCTGGAGCCCGGCTACAATGAGCTGAAGGAGTGGGCGAACACATACTGGAGCATTGGCTGGATAGCGGCCATGGTGATCGTTTGGGTGATGCTCTTCATGTTGATGTCCTACTGCTGTTTCCTGTGCGAATCGAATGTGAAGTCGGGCGTGGTATTTTTCGTCGCCGTATTGATAATATGCGTGGGCAGCATTTGCCTCACCTTCTATGGCGTCTTCTCGCTGGCCATTGGTGGCAACACGGAGGTCTTTCTCTGTCGCTCTCTCAACGACAATAACTACGAGATGCTGGGTAAGCTATTCGATAAGCCCGGCTATGTTTATGCCGACGAGCCCCAAACGGGCATCATCGGTGAGCTATTGCGCCCCGCTGGTGTCAATCGGTCTGTGGTCAATGTCAATCTGGGCACTGCGCTCCGGTGAGTTGAACTTTGCACCTTGAACTTTATTACCTCTGCCCACTAATATGCGTGTACTTAGACTCCCCAGATAACCCAATATGTACATATAACCAACTCAAGTCCAACAAGTAACGAATTTTGTTATCCAATTACTTTGATACTGTACGTGCCTGTAATTTTGATAGCCCACAAACTCATGCGCAACACATATTTCCTACTCACAGACGACTTTCTGGGGAGCTGTCAATATTTTACTCTCTCAAGCCCTCAGTTCGCTTTGAAGACGAGCAATTTAGGTAAATACTTATACATTGAGTATTGTTGGGCATAATAATGTATACATTTGTCATAAGCTGCCCTTAGATAAAAGTTTAAACTTATATTAAAGTTCCTTAAACTATTGCATCGCCAAATAAAAAAACAATTTTCCAGATTTTTATTTATTAAAAAAAAAAGTTAGAATGAAAACTAACTTCGATAATATTGATTGAGAACTAAGATATTTAGCACAAAAAAAAAATTAATAAAACTGTCACAGCGCAAAAGAAAAACCTATCCAAAAACCAAGAAATATAGTTTATATTTAAACATTTTCAATAAGAATTTAAAATGCTTTTAAATTTCAAGAAGTCAACTGCAACCGCTTTGAATGGTTAAACGACAGCTTGACCCTGAGTTTGTTCCATTTATATATTTATTTCAATGCTTATTCTTATGAAATAAAATCTGTAAGTCCAAATAATATTTTTAGTTTTGCCCAAAATATGCACAGTGCATTTATTTTTCTTACATTTTTGACAGATTGGTTTGTCAATAAAAGTCCATTTTAATCTGGGCTCTTTTCATGGAGGGGATAGTTGATAGTTAGGCCAATAGGATCACAGTTGAAAGGTCAACGCACCCGATAAACTTGCCAAAGCATGAATTGAACCCTGTTAACCCGCCCGAAACGTGTCTATTGATTGTTGCCAACCCGCTTGAAAGCCACACTAGATTACCCAGAGTCCCTTGAAAGCACTATCACAAGTTTGCACTTGGCGAACGTTGCCCCAAGTAGAGATGACCAGCAATCAAATATTTTCGTCACCGTTCAGCACTTATTATTCAGGCCGCAGAGCACAGTCCATGGACAACATAGAATTTAGATACCCGTATAGCCAACCAAGCCGCAAAGTTTTCAAAGCCCAATGAAATTTGTTAGCCACCGCACGGCACTTAATTTTACGCAGAATGCGAGTGCAGCAAAACACACACGCACACACCCCACACACACACACACACCACGCCTAACCCAAGCAGCAGCACCCACAACTCATGTAGCCGCAAATTTTAAGCCCAATTCCAATTATCTGCACAGCTACAAATGCGCATGCATGCGATCCCATGCAACATAAGCATGACCGCATGCTCGAACCCACAGTCCTGCCCTCAAATACCGCTCCAACTCAGGCCAGCTAACTATATGCAGTATGTGTGTGTGAGCGTGTGTGTGTGTGTGCGCGTGTGTGTGTGTGTGTGGTTGTGGCAAAATCCACGCATATTGAAGCTGACATGTTCGCATGAATTCAACTAAACTTTATTTGACATTTCTTTGGTACGAACCACTCATAACTCTGCCCGACACACACACGCACACACACGCACACACACACTCACATACACACACACAATTGAACAATGTCACACCATGGCGAATACGCAATCAGGGGCTGCGAACAAAATCAAGCATCGTACAATGTCTTTCAATTGGATGCGTTCGTAAATACCACAAAAATAGCCGATTTAAAACAATTCCCAAAAGTCTCAACGGCCATCGATGCCATTTCCGTATCGGAACGCACACTGCTGTCGCTCACCCAGTCCATACAAAACATATTGGAGAATATGCTGCAAACATCTGCATTCAATTTGACCACCTACCGCAACAGTGTCGGTGCGCCCACGCCCGAGAAGGACTTGGCCACATTCATCGATCAAATGCAGCGCGTTGCATTACAGGTGAGCTAACTTCACATCCATAAATCGATTTATGTGCCTATCGATTTTATATTACTGCACTTCGGGTATTATTGATACACATCATTTCGAATACAGAGCGCAAAACTGAAAATATACATTGAAGCTTTTATTTTTTGATTTTTTTTAATCCGAGCATTATTTTTGCTAACTGCAAGACATTTTTTTCGCATTGTAAAAGCTGATACAATTTTGTTACCTCTATCCACTTAGTTCCGTTTATTTTTATTTCAGTGTACAAACTAAGAATATCTACTTTGAACTAACTTATTTGAAGTGCTATATGCAATTTAAGACAAACGTTTATTTGATTTATCCTAGCTATGTGAATCATCTAATCCAATCCTTTGCCATCTACTGATGCCTTTCAGATTCAGGACGTAGCCACATCGTCTCGCATGACCACGCTGGGCAGCCGGTCGAAACGATTGCAGGCAGCCATACTGCAACCGCTGGAGAACCTACAGAATGAGATACTTTACCATCTGACAGCACTAGAGCTGCAGAGGGATCCCTGGGCAAAGCAGGTCAATCAGACGCTCAATCATTTGAAAAGCATACAGGGCTATTTGGAGAACAAGGCCGGCGAGATCTGTCACAATCTGACGCGCGTCTACACGGAGCGGTAAGTGGAGTGGGCCACAGCAAGAATGGACGCATGCAACATGCATAGAGGCATGCAAGAAATTGTCGGGTTAATTGCATTGAAATCTGAGTGATTTTCTATGGGGCACTCGTTTCATCTAGCCTGTGGCTGACCAAGTCCTTCTGGTCTGTCCTTGTGTGTGTGTGTGCTTGTGTGGTTGTTTTATTGTTGTGTTGCTCTTTTCTCTAGAGGCAAACCAACAAACAGGCAAACAACCTCAACTCTAGGGCACTGCACATAGCTTTTACTGTTTTATCAGATAATTGAAAGTCGTAATCGTTTGATTAAGTTTGCCAAGTGTCATGATTGCATTTCTGCTTTTTGTTGGTTTCTTGTCTGAAGTGTGTGAAGGACAACTTGAAATGAGAATGCAAAACAATTCAAAGCTGCAATTGTTGAAAGATGGTCTTAACCCTCTGTTATGGTAAACACTTCTGAGTAAGCATAAAAGTCACTTTCTAATTATAAATAGGCAGAAACAAGTCACAATAAAACAATACTAAAGTGTTCGGCTGGAAGATTCCCTGTGCACAGATCAGAAGTTCTTTATTCAAATTAAAATTTTTGAAACCAAATCAGTCTTACATAGGTAAAACTCATTTTGTTCAACATCGGATTACACATTCGTAGACCTGTGCCGGCAGAATCGGAGGAATAATTAGCTTTGAATGAACCACTTTTCTGTGGCACTTTAATATTCTCCCAACTTATTTGCTTATACTTAAACGGTAAGAAAATAAGTATGTAAGTTAAATAAAAAAAAAAATAAAAATAAGTACTTAATTCCAAAACCAGCTCTCAATATATATTCCTTTGACAGCCTCAAGACCTATCTGACCAGCAGCCGAGCCACTATGGAGTCACAGCTGGGTGATACGACAACCAAGTGCCGCCCGTTCTACGATACGTTTGATGCTAGTCGCATATTTCTGTGCCGCAATCTGGTGGACTTCATCAATGGGCTGTGGTTCTTCATATTCCTAACACTGCTGCTCTGGGCGATCGGTACGCCAGTGGGTCTCAATCTGATCACCATAGAGACGCGCCTGAATGCGATGCAGAGGGCGCAGGCTCGCAGCAAGGGCAAGCATCGACAGCGCAGCGACAGAAGCGACAGGAGCGACAGAAGCGACGAGCGGTCACGTCGCGGCGACAGTCGTGGACGCCAGAAGCAGCGCACGAGCAGCTCTGCGAAGCGTGATCAGCAGAGGGAACGCAGCACCAGCAGCACGGCAAGAGCCAGACCGCCACTGTGAGTAGCCAGAGTGAGGTGTGGGCGAGCGGGAAATAACAGAACTCTTGCTCATAGACGACGCACTGCCACCGAGGAAACACTGGACATAGGCGATGAGGATTCAACGCCATCGAGACAACCGCAGCATCAGCAGCAGCAACAGCAGCAGCATCAGCGTCGCCAGGAGTCGGAGCAACGGGAGCTAGAGCGGGAGCGCGCGCGTGATCGTGACCGGGAGCGTGATCAGCGTAGCCGAGAGCGTGAGCTAAGCCGTGGACGCGAAATGGCGACCATCAATACACCAGTGCGCAGTCGCCAGCAGCTGTGAGTAGAGACGCCCACAAAAATTGGCCAAGCCGCACATCTTCACCAGCTTCCACTCATCGCATTTCATGTTGAAACCCAAACAGGCGTCGCGGTGGCACTATGACCGAGGATGATAATTGGGGTTCATCCAGTGCGCCCAGTAGAGCCAACTCCAATGAGCGCGAAAGCAGTCAGTCTAGAAAGATCGTCAACATTTGGCAGTCCAGAAATAAGATCAAGACGCCGCTGTAAGTTTAGCTAAGGTCCCCCACCACCCGTGCCACACTTTTAAGTACCCTGACTCTGACACTCTGTTGTTGTTGTTGCTGCCAGTCACCGTCAAAGCACTGAGGAGCTTGACTTTGGGGATGAGCCGCAGGACAGCGGCTGGCGCGCCAAGAACAGCGTCAGCCCCGAGCTTCGGCAGCAGCCAGACATGCGCCGCCAGCAGCCAGATAGCCGCACCCAGCTGCGTACTAAGCCAAAGTTGTGAGTCTTGCTTCAGTGAAAAGCTACGCCCCTAGCCCGCTTGCAATTGACCCTCTAGTGACTCATTTCTCCATTCAAGACGTGGTACCAATGTGGACAGATCTGGCAGCGAAGCGGTACGTCGTCCGGTTACGCCCGTTCTGAGCGTCAATCCGGATATACCGGCTGCCGTGCCCATGCCCCGAACGCCGATGCGTTTGAGGAACAAAGTCTCGCTGACTGCCCGAGCCGTGCAGGACATTATTAACAAGCGGAGTCAGCTTCTGTGAGTTGTCCCTGTTGTCTCTATATCGGCTCACAATTCTGTGTTCCTTTGCCTAAAACCATAAAATTTCTAAATTTAGTTTTATTTTCAATAATATTGATGGGTTGAAAATAAATTTGCATGTTAAATTTTCCTATTTCCAATAGAAATTTAACAGCGACAATGTTATCTTAAAATTGTTAACTACAAACTTTAACTATTGCTACCCTCTTTACCATAGATGTGCCTAAAACTTCGTATATTCACCTAAACCATTTCAAGCGTTATCATACGAAACTATCCTTTAAAGCTTCCACTGCTTAAGGTTTTGTTAAACTTGAAATGAATAAATTGTGTTTGCAAAATGTTACCAGAAATGTCAAGAAACTTCTGTTATTATGTTATGTTAATTAACAGTCATGTAAAGATAACGTGCAGTAAGAGTAATTTTTAAAAATATCAAAAATGTAAAATACATTTTTTTTTAACACTTATCTTAAAAAAAAATTTGTTTGTTTAAATTATTATAAAATCCATATATAAAATGAACAATGGAATATTCATTGATCACGATATTTACGGTGAAAAATTTAAATTCCATCTGTTACTGTCGCATTTATTATGAACAATATTTTCTGTACAGCGCTCGTTAAGATAACATAATGTTAGTAACAGAGCGCTATTTGCAAACAGTCTCAGACAACATACAAAATGTTAATAGAATAATAAACTGTAATAATTGTTAATTAAAACGCATTGGACGCTTTACACCCGACCGAATTGTAGCTGCTCATGTTAAATTAAGAGTTAAATGTTAAAAAAAGGAAAATGAAATATTCTACCTCTCTTTCTTCCAACAGCCAACGCACTGGTACCGATGACTTTGACATGGACGAGAGCGATATGTACGGTACTGGTGCACATATGGACGCTGACGTTGTTGCGGCGTAAGACTAGCATACTCCCTTGATGGGTAACATTTTGACACACTTTATGATTCTCATTTGCAGAGCACGTCGCACTCCTCCACGCAGCGCGCCGCCGCCTCCGCCTCCACCAGCGGCCGGCTTGAACAGGTTCTACCAACGTTATTAAACAATTATCGAATGAGTTTGCTTTTTGGTTTCTTTTGATTTTTGTTTTGTAATCGAATACTGTGAACTTGACAGAGATTAACAAACAAAACACACAACCAATTCTTATGTGTTCACAGCGACAAAGTCTATATATTCTGAACTTACTTTTTTTCTCGTACTGCCAACCGATAACTACCCCCAAAATGGCACGATCGTGTATACCCTGCAAAATGCAATAGAAATAGCAGTGGGGCACGCAGCGTGCGTTGGAACGAAGAGGAGGACTTTGTCTTCGAAGATGCTGACACACCGAATCCGAATCCCATGTACTTGAGCCGTAATATCCACTAAAGTTGCCCACATGCAATTATGTGGCCTACGCTTAGTTAACCTTGTTTTGTATTTGGCTTACGATATTTCTTTTTAAGCTAAATGTAGTCTAGTCACAAGATTGTAGCATCAACGATTTAATATTTATTAAGCATTTACGGTTGCAAGCAATCACAAATAAAGAATAGAGCAACATATACAATCCATATAGATATATTTTAATATGGGTGGACTTAGAAAATCATGTAATAAGTACTTTAAAGGGGTACTTAAAAGGGATCTATTATTTCAAGCAACCACAGAGCCTAGCCCTTCGCCTAGTAAATCAAGAGATCAGGAGCTCAAATCCCGCAGAAAACATTGCAACATCCAATTAATGTAGATCGCTTTCTGGAATAAGTCTGAGATCTAAGACTCGGCATCTGTGTCAAATATTTATGCTGAAATCGGAGACTTAATATATATAGGTAGAAATTTCTGACGATGCTGGAATCTAAAGCTAAATTATTCTACCACTATCAAAACTAATGATTTGATTATATAACTAACCCCCCTAAAGGAACAGATCTTTAAGGAATACAACCAATTTTATCTCAGCTTTGAAATCCTTTTTAATATAAATTATACATTTCCTTCGGTATTTTTCAGAGTTTATTCAGTGTTCAATTAATGAAAAGGGTGCAGTTTTAGGAATATGCTTTTGTCAAACAGTCTACTTCTTCTTCAGGAAGGAGCTGATGACAGCTGGAGCAGCATAGGTGGCAACTGGGGAAGCATAGGCGGGTGCAGCATAGGTGGCCACGGGCGCTGTGTACGCCGGCGCGCTGTACACGGAGGCTGCGTATGCGGGCGCGGCAGAGTGGTAAGTGGAGTAGGCGGCGGGCAGGCCGGCGGCCGAGTAGGTGGTCACAGGAGCTGCATAGGTAGCTGCATAGGTGGGTGCGGCGGCATACGTGGCTGCATAGGCAGGTGCCGCGGCATAAGTGGCCACTGGTGAGGCCAGGAAGCCAGCCTGGGCGACGGCGAAGCAGAGAGCCAAGCAGATGAGGAACTGAAAAGTCAAGAGATCAAAGGATTAGAGATCGAAGTGCGGCACTGATCCTGCTACTTACTTTCATGTTGTTGATTTGGGATGAATGGTCAGCGACTGATGCTGTTGGCCAATTAGCTGGACTCTTTTATAGCCAAACGCGGCTCGAAGCTTGCGACGCCCCCAAACAAGTTTACGGCTTAAGACCCAGACCCAGACCCAGACCCAAATAAAAAGCTGAATTAGAACACAATGTGGACGCAGTAAGAAATTTTGTTGTACTCTATTTAACTTTTTGCTGTTGTTTATTTATTTATTTTTTTTTTTTGCTTGGTTACGTTCAATGAACGCGGATGCCGCGCCTTGTAGAGAACCTCAGTGCCATATGTTTGTCGCTCGATTTTGCGGCGTGTCAAATGGATTATATTTCCCATTTCATGTTTCCAGCTTTTGGCGACAACTGAGATTTGTAATTAAATATTATCAGCGATTATTTGACAAGCCTACGAGCAATCGCCACAGTCAAATAAAGTTGATAAACAGCTTGCAAAAGTTACCTGGTTACCAAAATGAGATTTGATTCTCAAGCAAACTTTTACAATATCTTCAAAAGTTGTTTAATAATAAAAAGAATGATTAGTTTTTCGAAAAAACAAGTTGAACTATTTTCTAATTTCTTATGTTCAATCAATCAAATAATTGAAGTATATATTTATATCAGCAGCAAATCAAGATTTTCTACCACATTTCTTCCATAGAAACAATTAGTCAAAATATTTGTCGAATAAAATAAACTAAACAAATAATAAATATTAAATTTTATTTACTAGTAAATAAAGGGAAATTAGTACATTATGTATATTTTCCTCAATAATATCCAAGTTAATTATGCAGCTTTGAAGAGCCAAACGTTAATTTTCTTAAATATATTTCTATATTTGGATAGTGAGATCTATTAGATCAAATGTGGAATGCAGCAAACTTTATTTTTGATGATCAATAAGAAAAATATTTGATAATTATAATCAATATATAACCTTAATACGTTAATAAGTATAGGAAATTTGTCGATAATTTGTTTCTTTTTTTTATAAGCAGGAATGTGTTTAATTTATATATAATGTTTTGCATTAAATAGTTTGATTGATAAAACAGAATATTTATGATGCGTTATATGACTAGAGCTGCAAATATTTCATGCCAACAACAGATTAATTAAATGTTTAGCTTAATCTTTGGTATAAGACACACTTTGGACAGCAGCAACAGAACCACGCCCGCCGCCTTCTACTATTACGACGAGGATTCGGGCAGCGGTGTTGCTGGCGCTGTGTCCAGGTCCAGCGTGTGCTTAGCTGCACGCGGCTGCTTGCGCCGCACATCGATCTCGTAGAGCGCCAGCCCAAACTGATGCACAAAGGAGCTGAACTGACGGCTCAGGTAGGCAAAGCTCAACGTGGGCGGCTGCTCCACGGCGCAAGTGCCGCGCAGATCGTCGTGCGTCCAATGGGGCGCATCTACATCGCAGGGATGGCGACCCTGCAGGCGTGGAAAAGCCTCTGTGGACAGATGCGGATAAAAGACAGAAACCAGCTCAAAGTGCAAATAGCTGCTGGCATTGGAACGCTGCAGTGCCTCGTGCAGCTCGCCGCTCAGTGCAGCGGGTATGGCCAGGTACATCTTGTAGCGTAGCCGAGTTGCGCCATTGCGCTTCAGCTCACAATTGCCCGAGATGAGCTTCACCTTGTGCATAACCGTGTCCAGCGCCAGGCCGCCGTACTCGTACAAAAAGAAGTCGCGCTGGCGTCGATAGCGTTGATGCGTCTGCGGATTAAAGTGCAGCACACGCGAGCTGGGCACATTAACCAGATGGAGCGGCAAGCTGTAGGTGTGCGAGGTGAGCAGATGGACATGGGTGGCCGCCGGCTTGGTGGCCACCACATGCGACATGTGCTGTGCTAGCGGAAAGATGCCAGCCTGATGAATGAAGCCAAAGAAGAGCGTGAGCAGCACATTGCACACGTACCAAACACGCAGCAGATGCGGTGCTGAGGCTCTGTTGCACAGCAGGCGATCGTAAAGCCAACGCAGCAGCGGATGCTGCGTCTGGAATGGATATGTGGCGCTAAATCCAGTGATGAGCTTGGGCGCATGCAGCAACAGCAATGGAAATGTGAGTGGCAGCAGAAAGCGCGGCTCCTGGTGATTGATCAACGAGAGAAAGAAGAGCGGCACAAAGATGGCACCTGACATCAAGGACACAATGCTCTGAAAGCGCGGCAGCAGCTGATATTCGGCGCAGAAGAACCGCAACAGCAGCTGGGCAAACGCTACCAGGGCGGCGAGGCCGAGCACATTGAAGAGCAGCGGCATGTTGACCAGCAGATGCACATAGCAGGGATGGACGCCATGCGTGGCCGTTTGGGCAGAGTCCAGGTTGTATTTGATAAAATTCCAGGGCGTAAACACAAAGTTATCAATGCCCAGCTGCAGCATGTGCAGCTCGCCCACGGTCAGATGCTGATAGTACAGCGAGTCGCAGAATATAAACAGCAGCAGCGCAGGCAGCGCACACAGGCAGAAGAGTCCGATGCGCAGATTGAAATCACGAAAGCTGACGCTGCGTGTGCCCATGCCGCGCAGCAGCCAGAAGAAGACCATGGGCGCGCCGAAAAGCAGGAACGTGGGCCGATTAAAGACGCCGGCCACACAAATACTGGACATAGCGAACAGATGCTGCAAATTGTGCGCGGGCAGCGCATTCTTCAGCTTCCAAATCTTGACACGTTCACTTATCGAAGCCGCCTTATCATATTTCTCCTCCAGGAATTCCTTTTTGTACACCACCGTATTTGTGCGCAGCATGCACTCGGCCACCAGGCAAAGCAGCCAGGAGCACATGGCCAGCTCGAGCGTGTTGGAAAAGGTGCGCGTGCCGAAGACCAGCAGCACCCAGCTGCTGCCCAGCGCCAGCAGGCGGATCTCATGGCGTAGCCCGTAAAGCCGGCAAATCCGATACATGCACCAGTCGTTGCTGTACGAGATTAGCGTGTAGATGAGCCGCGGAAACACCAGATAAGCATAGCTATTGATTAGCTCCACCTGCCACCAGCCACGCACATATAGCGCCGCAAACTCATAGAAGCTCCAGGGCACGCGAAGTAGCGCCCAGGGCAGCGTTATGCTCCGCACCGGCATCGTATTATTGAACTCCCAAGTTCGCGTGTGCTCCAAACGAAAGTGATCGCCTAATATGGTATTAAATAATTAAATGAAATACTGTGACCTGGCCGGCATTTTCACTTACCCGTCATTACCTCGACACTCTGGAAAAACTCATCTGGATGCACGTAGCCCAATTGGGGCACAAAAACGAGAATTAAGCGGAGCAACGCAAAGAAGAAATAGGTACTCAGGTGAACGGCCGTGGGGTTGCGTTTTTCCCATAGCTGCGCCAAGTGTCGGGTAATACGCATTATTCGGATAAATGAAATAAAATTTAAAAGTCAACTAACTAGCTTTAATTTTGGATTTGTTTACAAAATACAAGTACATAACTGAAACAATCTGGCAACACCGTGTGAGAAAGACAGCGATGGTAACTATTCGATATATCGTATGTTATACTCAAAATGGCAATGTGCGTTACAGTTTGAGTGCCACTGCATGACAACACGGCGCCAAAGTGGACAAGATGTTTAAATTATATGATAAGGAAAGATATTGCGAATCAACATAAATATGTTTAACATTTATTTGTGCTTTTATCAGAAATGTGCTCGAACTCATTTATTTACGCGACAATTAGCAAGCAGCATGTAAATTTCATTTGCATCTAATTTCAACAACTAGGCAGACGCGACTGTTGCTGCAGTTTCTGCTGCTACTGTGTCTCTTGGTGAGCCACCTTCACGCCGATGACGTATGCAAGCAGCTTGTGGTCGTAGGCGCTGGCTAGGAAATTCGATATCCGATTACAATTATATAAGTTTCGGGGCGTGTAATAGCTCATAAATGCATAGAGACGATGACGCGACACAAATTGTCATTTGTACAATAATCGCCAATGAGAAATGACTTGTGCTCAGGCTTAAAGCGGATCCAAATGCCCATTGACAGACGCGACGTCTGATCACAGCCCACGCCAAGAAATGGCAACAATAACAGCAAAGTCCTCAATGTTCTACTCATGTCATGTCTAAATGATCAAAAGGTTGCGCCACAATGCCTGCGAACAAAACCTTATAGCGCGCGTGACGTCACAGCTGTAAGCTTCATGATATAAGCCACGCTTACAAAAGCTCGCAGCTGTGAGGTAAGCATCAGCGAGTATGAGCGCAAATATTGGGCACTTGCTGGCGTTACCTGTCGATCGCCCATTTGCGAATCTCACCTACCTCAACCGTATAAAACGTGCGCCGCGCAAGGCGCGCACAATCAGTATTCATTAGTAAGCCCAGAAGTAAACGTCGCATCGCCCGCGCCAAGCTCAATTGTAATTAAACTGATTTGTTTGACTTGAATAATTGGAACGAGCAGCTGCATGTGCTCGCAATATTTGCAATGAATTATTTCTGTAGCAAAAATTAGCATCGGCATAAAGTTCAGCCACATTAAAGCCGTGTACGAAATGTGCTATTTATAGTTTTTCAATAAATAAATAAATTAACAAATTTTATATTTTTTATGGTGAAATGTGAAGTGCTTTGATTAGAACTGTTTTCCTAGAAGTCTTGCGAGGGTTATGAATAAATTCTTATCATACATAAATTAAAACATAACGATAGTATAAACAAAGTCTGGGTATAGTACTGTACTTATCTATAGAGTCTAGTTTTCATATTTAAATCGGTACGAAACTCAATAAACCTTGTTGTAAATGTAAAGCACAGAAAAGAAGATTTTTTTCAATTGCAATTTGGGATCTGAAAGAAGAGCTTGGACACTGTAGGGTATCGCCTAGTCGAACACTCTCAACTGGAGCTCTGATAAGTTTTTATGTGTGTACTTATGCATTTATATATGTGTGTGTGTGTCCGAATGTTGTCATATAATAATTGCAGACCAAAATTTACTTAACTTTTCTGAAAACATACTCCGCCTTACTATGCAATTCTCATGAATTATTCCTGGTCACTCTAACTTAAGATTTTGCATTTCTTTCTCTCCCCCATTTTATTCCTGTTTCTGGTTTAGTTAAAGTAATAATAATATGCCAGCACAGCTTTTAATCAATTCGAAACCCGTTTTTCAATCAGAAACTGTTTTTGTTCCTTGGGATTTGCGCCATGTTTCAAGATTACAGTAACACAAGAGGTTCAAACCAAGAAATTATAATAAAGAGTTATTGTTATAACAACATCTAAGCTACCACTACTTGAAATGCTCCGTTTGTCTTCCCATGTATTTAACAGCGACTAACTTTTTCAAAAAACAGCCCACCTCCTGGCCAGTCCCGTGCCATTCAATCAACTTTGGCAAAGCAACAGTTTGCCGCAATTTAAGTTACAGTTGCCACCTGTCCGGCTCAGACTGCCACAGCAGCCCTGCAGACCCCGCCGCAAGCTCAGCGAAGCCCGCATATATTTAAGAAAAGAACACATACACACACACACACACGCCCGAGGACCACGAAGGACAACAGTTCGACTCGGCTGTTGTCCTGGCCGCGAGTCGTCTTCTCGGCCTGCGCATCGCGTGTATAAAAGGAGGCGCCACGCTCGCAGCGCCAGCAGTTGCCACAGCGA